AAAAATTAACTTAACAACAAGCAAACTTCAGAAGCATCTTTGGAAGTTGACCAATCCTCCACTACTTTCATCTTATCCTGTTCCATACGCATGCCTTTAAAGGACACCACATATCCTAAAAAGGTGACTTCAGACTCCGAATGTTCATATTTTGATTGCTTGCAATAGAAGTAATTATGTTGTAGGTGGCACAACACTTCTCGTAGGTATTGCTCATGTTTTTAAAGGATTTTATTATATATAAAGATATCATCAATGAAAACAACTACATACTTATCCAAAATGTCTCAGAACAATCTATTCATCTGATTTATAAAAGAGGCTAGAGCATTAGTGAGGCCAAAGGATAAAATCAACCATTCAAAATATCCATAGAGCATACAAAATTCCATCTTTTTTATATCTTCTCTTGCAATAGGTATTTTTAATAGTTGCTCTAAAGATCCAATTTACTAAAGATGGTCGCATCATCAAGTTGGTCAAGAAGATCATCCATACATGAAAGTAGATATGTATTTTTAATAATTTACTTATTGAGGCCTCGATAATCAATACAAAGGCAAAGTCTACCATATTTCTTGGATGCAAAGAGTATAGGTACTTCTCATAGTGATGTACTTTCTCAAATGATGCTTTTCTCTAAAAAATTGTTCAATGTCTTCTGTAACTCTTCAAGTTCTTTTGGTACTAAGTAATAAATTGGTCAACTTGCTAGTTTGGCTCTAGACAATAGTTCTATTTGAAAAGAGGCACCTCAATCAAGATGCACGCTACTAGGTAGGTCGCTTGGAAAGACATCTTGATATTTCCATATGAATTGATTTGCATGTTCTACCCCTTTGATTGTCTTTTCTACCATTGACACAAGATTTGGAACCACCATATATACCAGTTGCTCATGCTATATTTGTTTTTTCATAAAAGTCATTTCTATGAGTAAGTCTTTGGTTGTAGATTGTCTTTCTTCTTCACTTGATGTAGAGGTACAAAGCATCACCTTCCATCCTCCATCTTTAAAAGAGATTATCCTTGCTACCCAATCAACTTGCTTATTTTTCATTTTTAGTCATGATATATCAAGGATAACATCATACCTTAACTTTGTCACCTTGAATCTCTCTCTTAAGATGTAGGCGTCTATCAATCTCAAGATTTCTTCTTCACATGTCTCACTTAATATATTGTCTTGATCATCTATGAGGTATATACTTCCTCCATTGATTATCTTAGTTTTAATTCCAACTCAATTGACAATTTCAATTGAGATGTAATTTTGTGTAGAGCCACAATGGAGAAGTACTCGACATGGTTGTCCTCTTAGTAGTCCCATTAGATGCATCAGTCGATTCTTTTTATAATTGTCTAAGGCCATGTCATTTGTCTCTGAGAGATATTAGCTATTTCTAGTATTGGCCCTTGGTGCCTTTACTAAGGAGCTTCATTTTCTTGCCCTATCTCATTGTCAACTTATTGGATTGTGAGACTATGAATCCACCTTGTTTTGTTGGTGCTTAAATTTTGACGTTTTGGACAACTTTCAATCTAATGGCCTAGTTCCCAATAATAAAAACACAATTCCTTTTGTACCAATATTTGTCATCTTTGTAGTGTCAATGATCCTTGTAAGGCATCTATGTCCATTGGCATTGATTGTTGTGCCATAATATTAAATAGCGGCATAAGACTTCATACTATAGGTTGTGCTCTAAGATTTCTAAAATCTATAGCATCGACTTTCCCTGTAATCTAAATTGCCTCTTTGAATGTTTATAGATCTCTTAGCTCCATCTCTTGCTGGATCTCAGGTTTCAAACCTTGTAAGAATTGATCCGTCATCTCCACCTACAAAACATTGTCAATTTGGAAATATAAGGACTTGAATTGGCAAACATAATCTTACACCAACCTAGCTTGTGTAAGATTTGTCGACTGATCACATGCTATCTTTTCTTCATTGATGGGCTGAAATTTATTTCTAAACTCCATCTCAAACTCCTCCTTGTCACAAAATCCACCTTGAGCTTCATAGCTTTGAACTTGATGTTGTCACCAAATGGTTGTCGTATCTCTCAAATAGCTGGTTGGATATGTAATTCTTTCAATGGTATTAGCCCTAGATAGTTAGAGATATTTTCGCATATTGAAGAGCCATTGACATACATCTTCTTATCTTGAAGTTTTAGAGTATATATTAGGCTTACTTAATTTCAGCCTAGTATATGTCAACTCTCTTGTCCTTGAGGCTTTTATTTGCCTTTACAAAGTAGCTATTTGGCCTAAGACGTGTTGTATTTGAGCCTCTATCTAGGATTGCTCTGCCATATCTTCCATATTGTAATTTCTTTGCTGGACTCTACTATTATAATGCCTTTTCACCTCTTTGTTAAATTTTTAAGAGGAACTCATGGTAGCCTCAATATAGTACCCAGTGTAACCACAATAACTGACCTTGAACTAAATGATGATTATTGATATACTACCAGAAGTAAACAATCTAACACTCACTCTGATACCAATGAAACAGGATAAGACTATCTTAAAAATCTAAGATCCTTCTAATCTATAGCAATATAAAGCGTCTTCACAAAATAAGACAAAATAGACCTCAATCAAAATTAAACAGAACTAAATAGAGTAGGACATGAAAGAAAAAACTAAGCAAAAAAAAAAAAAAAAAAAAAACAAAACAAAACAAAACAAAACAAAATAAAAATAAACAGAAAGATGCAAAATCAAATTTTACTAAGAGAAAGGATTCAAAGCCATACTTGACCAAATGCCCCAAAAGACCTAGCCAGTCCTATTTATACCTTGTTCTACCACCCTAGATTTTCTAGAAGATTCTTAGGTGGTGGGCTCTACCTAGATAATTGCCTTAAATTCCTTTTCTAAAAAGTTCTATGGTAGGCCTCATCTAAATAAGTGTCCTAAATTCTTTATAGAATATTCTATAGTGAATCTTATCTGGTCTACTAACCTAACTCCAATTCTAGAATCTTCTATGGTTCTAATTATCTATCCTTATACAAATATCTTATCAATAATCTATTACACAATAAGTCATAATCTCAAATATTACACATTTCATATACTTAGTCTTTTATAAGTCTTTGATTTTCTACTTGAGTATTTATAAACTTGAAAAGACAAACATGGCTTTCATGAAAACCTATTTTTATACGATAATATTATATGAGCAAAACTATCTTTGGCTTTATAATAGGAATCTCTTACTTTATACCAAAAAAGGTTTTAAGGTTATATGGTTGTTTGTAGTTTTTGGACTCCATTATTTTTTAATTTTAACTTCACTTATTCTTTCATTTTTATTGTTTACAATTTCAATAGATTATATAATTTGTTTTACTAATCTTAAAGGTAAGAAGATATAGATTCTTTAACTTGGGCTCTAAAATTTTGATCTTTGTTTTAAAAGATTATTTATTTAAAGAGTTTTGAAAACACCAATGGATGTATTTGTAAAATTTTTATTTTTAATATGTGATTAAATTATTCAAAAAGTATATTGATTTGTAGATATTGAAGATTTCACTACTTTGAATTCTAATTTGATTTTGTGAATGAATAGAATTTTTTAAGTTTTGATTTGATCTAACTCTCTATTTTGGAGGTCTATAAATTTAGTGGTGGACTTAAAATGCTCTATAAGTTTTTCAATTTTTAGATATAGGGCCTTTAATTTGATATTTTTTTGTTGATTTTTATTTTTTTTTGTCTTTTTGAAATTTTGAATTGATTGATTTCTCTATTTGTAATGCTTTTAATTCTAATAATATGTTTAAGATCTTTAGCAAGTTTATAATTTAGGAGATATGAGGTTTTAGAAATTTCTAAATAATTCTTTATATAATAAAACTTTAAAAAGACTATGAAATAAAAATAAAAGATATAAAAAAATATGTTCATAAACTTATCTAAACTTAATATAAAAAGACCAAATATATTTCTCAATCTATTTTAAAAGAAGCAACAAAAGTATAATATTTTTCTAATAATCAATCTCTCAAAAAACTAATAATCAATAAAAAAAAATTGAAAACAAATTCTATATTATAGTATATAACTAATAGCTTGTAATTTCTAATAATTATTTTATCTTCATTGATTTTTATTGATTAATAAGTAATTAACAAATGCCATGTAGATATATATAATTCTATGATGCAAAGCCATGTGGCTTCCAGGATAAAAGCAAATAACCTAGATTATAGAGCCTTAGCAAGAATGATTTTGATTATGCCTTCAATACACCACCTTTAATGATTAATAATCTTTGATAATTAATATTATTTCTTAAAATAGATGATATTTATTAAAAAATGGAAGACTATATATTCAATATTTTTGAAAGTAATGAATAATTAATATACTATTATTTATTGATCCAAATATTTGATTTTGGCAATACATCTAATTTTTTTAATAATAATGCTATTCTTTTTTGTACTTGTACTAAAATTACATACATGAATTGAATAAAAACCATACTTTTTATTATTACTATATTTTGTTAATATTGGTTCTTAGATCTAATCTTATATTCTTATCTAGACTAATATCTACTTCTTTGAATTGATGGACTTTAATCCATAATAATTAATTATATATTCTTATACAACACCTTGTTTTAAGTTAGAACCAACTTTTAATTATTGCTATCTTTTATTCTTTCTATTTTTAACTCTCTTTTAATTTAGATTTTAAATTCCAAATTTTTAAATAACAACCAAAGCCTAATTCTAAAAAATAATATTTGACTTTTCTAAATAACACCTTTCTAATGCAAAAAAAATTTCTTTTTTATTTTTTCTTTCTCTTTTTTCTTTTCTGTCCTCTCTCTCTATGTATATATAAATAAACAAATAACTAAGTGAAAATCAATCCAAGACACGTCCACGTCAGATTCCAGCGCGGGTCCACCTGTCCGACCCGTCACCCGTTACGACCCGACCCGGGCAGGAAGACTGGCAATAGTAGAGAGTGTTGCGGAGAAACGCCCAAGGATTGATCGCTTCGATCACCAAACCTCGCAGAGCTGCAATTCAGTCACTCCCAAACGATGGAGTTTTCTTTGCCAGCGATGGAGGATCGCGCGTTATGTGCATTTCAAGGTAGAAATCAAGCCCCATGCCCTGGATTAGCGTGAGGCGACAACAATTGTGTTGGGTTTTGGAGCTTTTTTGTGGATGGAATTTTGAGAGTTAGGTTTGCAAGCACGGAGGGAGGGTTGTTGTGTGGGCGGGACTTGGAGGGAGAGTTGCAGGAGAAGGAGGAGGAAAAGAAGAGATAGATTGCGATGTATCAATGGCGGAAGTTTCAGTTTTTCGAGGAGAAGCCACCTGGGCCCGCGGTGGCGGAGGAAGTGAAGGAGAAGGTGGTGTGCAGTACCAGTGGGCGAGGACAGATTGTTCTCGGGGCCGAGGATGCTATGTTGCATGTGCTGGATCGTGGGTTGAAGCTCAATTATAGCTTTCAGGCTCATTCCGATCGCGTTCTCTACATTCAGCAACTCAAGGTACTGCTTCACCTCTGCTTGAAAAGCATCCTCCCCAAAAATCTCCAGCTCAAACCTTTTAGTTTATAAACTGGAATCATGAGTTTGTGTCCAGTCGCTAAGTTGGAAGTTGTTTTTAAGGTATTCTGTGCTTTTGATTGGGAGTGTTGGTGATTAGTATTGACAGAAGTATTTGGGGAGAGTTGTTTCAAGAGTGAGAGCTTTTTTCGCTAAGATCGCATGAGGTATATGAAAATGCTGTAAGCTGAACCATGTTTTGTCTCTTGCAGCAACGACATGTTTTGATATCACTGGGGGAGGATGAGGCCGCTTCGATGAAAGGATCTGGATTGAATCTGAAGATGTGGGATCTTGACAAGATCCAACCCGAAGGCTCTAGCACCACGGGTCCTGCTTGCGTCCGCTCAATTCGGATTTTCGATAACAAGTTCCCCGAAGCTCAGGTTCAATCGATTCTCCTTCACTTTACTTCTCTCAGTAACGCGGCAAAAGCACAATATTGAATTACAGAGTTGAAGTTGAACCCTAATTGATGCAGATTTGTGAGGACTCATGAGCGATGATAATGAGGATCTTACGATTGAGTTCCTTTCGGGGATCCTGTTTGTTCAGATTACGTCATTTTTGGTGTTTGAGGAAGCGCCTCCAATTGTATTAATCTGCATTGGGCTCGACTCTGGCGAAATCTGCTGCATACGTGGTGACATTGCTCGGAACCGTGTAACCAGACTAAGACTTTCGGTGGATCCAGCTGTTGATGGTGGCCAGCCTGCGTCTCCAGTGACGGGCTTAGGTTTCCGGGTTGAAGGTCAAATGCTCCAACTCTTTGCAGTGACCACTTCGTCCATAAACCTCTTTGACATGCACGATTCATCACCACAAAAGAAGGTTATTGATCAGATTGGTACTGAGGGACGATGCGTTGCAATGAGTGACAATCAAGTGAGTCATGATTCTAACTCATGTGTATGGCGTGTTAATGCTGTCGATGTTCTCTGAACTTTTTATAAGTTGTACGGGTTATAGGACACCGATCAAAGAGCTTTTTGTGAGGCAGGATCTTGTGATTGGGCGTCCAGAAGCAGTATATTTCTACGAGGTAGATGGGCGGGGACCCTGTTGGGCATTTGAAGGAAGTAAGCAGTTCATTGCGTGGTTCCGTGGGTACCTTGTAGTGGTTTCATCCGATCCTCGCAAGCCCAGTAAAAACGTGTTAAATATTTACGATTTGAAGAATAAGCTCGTTGTGTACAATAGTTCAATTGGTGAAGTGGCACACATCTTGTGCGAGTGGGGCACTATCACGGTGCTCACTCAGGACCAACAAATCTTATGTATTGCTGAGAAAGACATGGGAAGTAAACTTGACATGCTGTTTCGCAAGAGTTTGTATACTATTGCTATCAATCTGGTTAGTAACTTTCAAGACCCTTTTCTCCCTGCAATTGGACTGGATAGAGAATTCTGTAATCATCTTGGTATGTTCTGCTGCATTGTCAAACAGCCTGATAGTAGCCAACGGATATTTTTCTTCTGTGGTGACTGGGGTTTATGCTGTGAATTTTAGGTTCAAAACAATCAAGCTGATGCTGCGGCGACTGCAGAGGTTATGCGCAAGTATGGTGACCATCTATACGGTAAACAGAACTATGATGAAGCAATGGCTCAGTACATTCGCACGATTGGGCAACTGGAGCCCTCCTATGTGATTCAAAAGTTTCTGGATGCGCAGCGTATACACAACCTAACTCATTACCTAGAAAAATTGCATGAAAAGGGGCTAGCAACGGCAGATCACACCACACTGCTCCTTAACTGCTACACAAAGCTCAAAGACGTTTCAAAGCTGAATGATTTTATCAAAGGGGAGGAAGGCAAAGAAGGAGAGCCTCGGTTTGATGTGGAGACAGCTGTAAGGGTATGCAGAGCTGCTGGGTATTACCAACATGCACTCTTTGTGGCAATGCGAGCAGGGGAGCACGAGTGGTACTTGAAAATACTGTTGGAGGATTTGAAACGGTATGAAGAAGCTTTGCAATATATCATAGGGTTGTCTTTGTATGAGTCTACGGTCGCATTAAAACAGTATGGCAAGGTGCTCGTGGAGCACAAGCCAGCTGAGACAAGTGCAGCGCTTCTGAAGCTGTGTACCAACAGTGGAGCCACTACTCCAACTCTTGGTGCTTCATCTAGCAGTGGGAGGTTAACCAGCTTACTACCTTCTCCAGTTGAATTTGTCCACGTCTTCATTGACCAGCCGAAGTGGCTTATTGTGTTTCTGGAGCAGTACGTAGAGGTGGTGAAAGATTCTCCTCAACATGTTGAGCTTTACAACACTTTGCTCGAGCTTTATTTATCGGAAGAACTTCGCAGCCCAGGCTTACCCGAAGACCCCTCTCCACCGGAGGAACCTGACTCTCAGACTGGGGAAGGAGATTCTAAGGACACTAACGAAGGCCACCATCATGGAAATCTAATCCTTGCAGCTGGTGGGCAAGTGATCGCAGCTGGAGGTCAAGTGATTGCTGTTGGTGGCCAAGTGATCAAGGCAGTTGGAAAAATAGGGGGGCTTGTGTTGCCTATTCACAGAAGCAAAGAGCAGGAACCGGTTACTGATATCGATCCAGAAGAGGAAGAAAGAGCTCACAAAGTGGCGATGATAGAGGCTGTCCCAACTGAAGATCAAGTTGCGCGGCGTGCCAAGGCACTGGTGTTGCTTAACCTTGGATGGGGTCCTCATGAACAATCCCCGCAGTATGATGTGGACCTTGCGCTAGTGCTTTGCCAGATGCACAAGTTTCGGGATGGTCTGTTGTTCCTTTACGAGAAGCTGAAACTTTACAAAGAAGTTTTAGCAGTCTATATGAAGGATCATGACTACAAGGGCCTCATTTCGACTTGTAAGCGCTTGGGTGAAACTTCTCGTGGTGGAGACCCAACTCTATGGAACGATGTATTGTCTTACTTTGGTGATCATGGCGAGAACTGCTCTGATGAAGTGAGGGAAGTGTTGGTGCACATTGAACGTGATAATCTGCTTCCTCCTTTAATTGTCCTTCAGAAACTCTCCAAGAATCCCAAGCTGACTTTGTCAGTGGTGAAGGACTACATTGCGCGGCAACTGCAGCAGGAAACTCGGTTGATTGAAGAAGATCGGAAAGTCATTGAGAAGTATCAGGTATTCTCTTTTCTCATCTATATCTTTTTGTTTAGAAGGGCTGTTTGACCATCGGAACCAACTCAGAAAGTGCATAGTGGGTTTTCTTGTTAATCGCTTTTTCTTCCTTCACCTTGTGTATTGATCAGAAAATACCCGTAACATTTATTAGCAACTTAAACCAACTTCCTCTTAGAAGGAATCAACTAGAGAATATTTTTCAAGAAGTGAAGCACTCAGGGCTATCATAAAGTTTGTGGTTAATGCTGCTCCTGAATGTTAGCGAACTGTCACTAACTTCATAATTATTTAACGTAGCCGTTGCGCTGACAATTGCTTCCTCTGAGTTTCAGGAGGAAACCGAAGCCATGCGAGCTGAAGTGCGAGAGCTTCGTTCCCATGCACGCATTTTCCAGCTGAGCAAATGCACTGCGTGCACCTCGGCTCTGGATTTACCTGCGGTCCACTTTCTGTGCATGCATTCCTTCCATCAGCGCTGCCTCGGGGATAATGAGAAGGAGTGCCCAGTGTGTGCACCCACCAGTCGCCATGTTCTGGACGTGAAACGGTCCCTGGAGGCCAATGCGAATGACCACGACACCTTCTTCCAGTTGCTGCGGAACTCCGACGATGGGTTCTCCGTCATTGCTGAGTATTTTGGGAGGGGCATTTTGAATCAAGGACCCCAACCGAAAGGCGGTAGTAAGTCACTCAGTAGGTCAAGCAGTGTAATAAATTAGTTGGTTTCTTTTGCTTGTATTCGTGAGCAGCCAAGTATATTGTTTTTATCAATTCTTTCCAACAACTGAATGTAGTTCACTACCAATTCCAGTCCTGTGTCGAGATACGGTTGGTTTCCCACACGATTGTTATTTGTTATTTTAATTGTGTATATATTTCATGTTTCTAGTAATCTTTCCGTGTTTCTTGTTATGTGGGATTGTTTTGTGAAGTCTGCAAATTAGGATTGTTCATTTTGATCTATGCCAGGTTCATTAGGGTCGTGCTAGCCGCAGCGGATCAGTACAGTTTGTAGAGATCCATTTTTGTATATATCTCACGGATCTTTGTTAGCTTTGCATCAGCGAGTTCAGAGTCGGCTGCTCAGAATGATCCACTTTGATGGATCAAGAAATGTTTTGTTGACTACAATTTACCTATACTTGTGCGGGACTTGACACAATAAAAACACACCTTTATCTTATTTCAAAATAGTAAACTCAATAATAGCTTAGACTTCTAAACCTGTCGGTATACGCAAACTTGTCAGAATATATTTCTGTTTCTATATAAGCTTGCATTTAACATTTTATGATATCGGCTAATGTCAGAACATATTAAATTCTGCACAGTAAGTGGCGAAGGAGATCCACACATAAGAAAGCCAATCACGTTAGGAAACCCTCAAATGATGGATATAACCGGAAGTTACCTCATGTGTGACGTATAGCATTGCTTGCCTCAAATCGTACGGATCAGCCACATCAGCTACAAATTGCTTTTAACTTCAACAAATTTTGATGTCAAGCTTCACTTAACATTCAGTTAACAGAACATAGAGTCTAAATGTTTCCTCCATCTTTCATTCCCTTCAGATTTTTTATTACTCCATTTAGGACACAACTTCAAAGACAATTCCAAGTCATTCGATTCATCTCTTGAATATTTCTTCTTTCTCAATATTATTATCTAGTACTGTCTGATATCTCATTAAGTATCCTGAGGCGCCCAGTCACTTACTGAAGAAAATTTTAAATAAATTTACATTATAAACCCACAAATTCTCGCCCACATTGAATTTGATGATTTAAGACTCGTGATTGGGGTGAAAGATGAACTAGAGTTTAACAGTGCAAGGCGAACGAAAACACCATCTATTACAATCTGTCACATGAAAGGAAGCCCAAGAATTCAGGTACAGTAGTAGGTGCACCGGTATGATTTTCAGAAAGGAGCAACAAAGGACGGAGATTAACCGAATTGGATCACCACGACAAGTGCTCATCACAAAAGATGCAAACCATGGATATGAGGCGTAATTTTAAAATGACCTACATTACAGACATTTGTACGCACGATGTACTGGTAAGTCTATCCATTGGATTGTGCTAACTTTCCTCACATGTCCACATATCAAGTCTACGTGACCCACATCTTATACCCCACTTCTTGAGTACACATTTTGTCCCTTGCACCAGTTCCCATTCCACTCCACATGTCACCAGAGCAAGCCTGACTATGATGACAGGGTTTAAAGGGCACAAAATCCTAGAGGGCCCGGGCTATGAACGAATTGTTGTCACGAGATTAACTGAGTAAGGCTTCTAGTTTAAAATGCGTCTCCAAATCCACCAGGCAGTTTACTATGATATGTCATCCAAAATCGTATGATATTCAGGAACATGTTGATCGCTCATGTTTGCAAATAAAACTCAATAACGATCGTACCTGTCATGTCGCCTGCAGGTTATTGTTAATAAAACTACCATGATTAGAGACATAAGCATCCTCAGAAATAATATCTTCGAATCAACCTAAAATCACGCAAAAGAAATATGGTATAGCGCAGGATTATAATTAGATATCGCTACGGAATTCTTGAGACCATAATAGAAACGCGCAAATATCCAGTTGAGCAACAATTGGGATTCAACAGTAACCTACCTGTACCGATCACTCCTGTCTCTATCTCTGGAACGTTCCCTTGATCGCGACCGTGATCTGCTTTTTAGAACCACAAGTAGTGGTAAATACACCATGGAACAGAAAAAACGAACTCAGTTAACAAAACGGACCTACACTATATGAACTGTTAAACTGCAATGGCCAATATCGGATAAATTCTTACAAGTACATAAAACAGGTGAGTGCACGACTGACCTTCTCCGACTTCGACTATCATAATCTCGATTCGACTTGCCACGATCACGCTCGCGTTCTCTATCTCTGTCCCTTCCTCTTCCACTGTGGGAGTCACGGCCTCGGTCTCTTTCACGACCCCGAGTACGTTCCCTCTCCCGATCGCGTTCACGCTCTCTTTCTGCTTCTTTTTCCTTTTCTCGATCAGCTCGCTCACGATCGGCATCTCTTTCCTTCTCCCTGTCTCTGCTCATTGAGCGGGTTTTACTGGGCTCTCGCGGCCTGATCAAAAGAAAATGTTAGATCCCAATCCTCCTCACGCCAGAATTGCTTTCTTGCATTAACTTTATGTTGGAAATGACAGCAGTCACTACATACTTGCTTTCAGCTGACATGAGAGAAACAGTCTAAAAGTAACACTTACTTTTCATTGTCTAGCGGCTCCGCTTTCCTGACAGCTCGCTCAGCCTGGAATAACCCACGATCATTCACAGATATGAAACTTCCAATGACACCCTAAGCCCTGGTTCAAGTATGACTCAGAACTACCCACGGAGTCCAACAAGCCTCAAATGTGTTATCTGGTCATAGAGAACAGTATCAAGACGCAATCAATAGTGAAGAAAATCTCTCTGATGCCACGCTGACATTTCCATCAGACAATGCCTGGTAAAATGAGCTTACAAAAAGTGAATGGACGCAGGTGCTGATTGGTAGGACATGGTAACCGCAGACAAGATGACTGACCGAGGCTGCCTACTGATTAAGAAGCTGCCAAATGGTGCAACGTGAGTTTGTCCATGAGTCTGCACGTCCCAAACTCATCCTAAGAACTTCGTAGTTACTGAATCCTTGCAAACTTTCGAGTTCATTTTGATAGGATGCCCATCCTGTCGGATCCATGATGGAACGGTAATATATAATCCAGGAATTCATAAATTTATCTAATTAGATTTTAAAAAGGATCGTCATTAAGTGCAAGAATCAAAGCTGCATTTGGTTGTCCATACCCATTCAATGTTACTTCCGGCCCCACAGAAAATGACTTGCATACTACAATTAATAACAACTATCAATCCAATGATCCACCAAACTCAGCCTTCTTTGCAATTGCGTATAAATCACAGTAATTTAGTTGCACCCAGGCTAAGTACCAGATAATAATGACAAAGTAGAAAGGAATTATATCTACAACTAGTAAAATAATGTTGATGTTCAGGAAGAGTTTTTTGAGACGTCATTTTCAAAAATTGGCCTGAAACAAACTTTGACACTCTATAAGCAGAGAACCTTTCTAATCACGAAGAGAAAAGACGCCAGGCAATATTCAGAACTCTAATTAACACATACACCTGCCATTAATAAAGCCTTGAATGCGAAGTAAAAGCCAAAGAAACTTCCCGAATCCGGGACTATGTCTTCAAAACAAGGAATTGAAAGAATAAACACAACATAGACTAAAAACGGGAAAAAAGCATAACCACCCATATGACCAGAATTTTCATGCCATGCACCGCACTGATGTTCCAATCTGTGACACTAGAAGAAACAATACACACACAATACCATTCTTTCCAAATAAATCTCAGAAGGTGAATTGAAGACGTACTCGCAAGTCAACAAGCTTCTCCCGAATCTGCATGTAACCCAAATGTAGCTTCCCTCCAAAATGGTCCGCCAGGCGACGGTCACTGAAAGTATTAAGCAAAAAAGAACTCATCATGAAACCCACTACTTGGCAGCAACACGTGGGGCAGTAAAAGAAAATATCGTCTTTTGAAAGCCAGAAAAATGTCCACATGTCAAATAAGGGTAGCTACCACCATAACTGTAAATAAAATAAATATAAAATAAAGTATGACAATATACGAGGGAAGGTAGAACTAAGTCTAACAACCGAAAATTGAAATGGAGTCTATTGTTTAAGGATCAAACTTGAGAACATAAATGATATGCATAATACATACAGTCAACACGGTGGAATGTCATCATCTTCATAAACCCTAGACAAATCCGCTGCCAAACACCAACATGGGTGATTAACTTAGGAAAATGTGCAGCTTGAGGCGTCACGCCAAACTTTTATCGTTTGAGAGCGAGAGCCTTGCTTCAATGCTCGTTCACTTCCTCGATGAAGAGCATATGACGTGTACTAAGTTGAGATTTCTAAATGTTTGAGGACAAGCCAATATGAAGTAATTTCAGTCCAGTACGAACCTGTCATAGATGCTCAAAAATGCCCCGCAAATATCACACACTCTTAACTTCTGATCAGCCTGCCACAAAAAGATCAACAGTGGTCAGCACAAAAGGCACCAGCATTATAGCACGCCAAGAGCAAAAACAATCAAAAGATGTTCTAACCAACTAAAATCCAGAATATGCATTTCGTATCTAATACGTTGTAAGAAAAGAGTCACCCACAATGCGAACTTCAGGAGCTAGTAGCTTAGCGGGGTCAGTAACCGCCTCTTGCCTTGCTCCCAGCTGCCAAGTAACACAGAAGTTCCATCACAGCGTCAAACATCATGTGAGGATCTTGAAATGTTTAGTAGGTGAACAACCAAACCATTGTAGCAAACGAGTAAAACTATGAACGACAAACAAATACATAGCTTTATTGAAGTGCCTGGACCCCTGGAAAAGACAACTCTTTGTCCGTGCATTTCATGTACTTAGGTTACGCTCTTCTCAGAAACATTAAAGACAGAAGCGTGGTACCTTCTTCAAAGCTTCAGCTTCCTCCATGGCCTTTTGTGCCTCATCCACCATCCCTAGTTCTCCTGCTTACAACACTATATAAGCAAGACAGAACTTCTGTAGGCCATCGAAAATCACAAAACCATGAACTAAAAACAAAAAAAACAAAAAAAAACAAAATACAAATAACGAGGAGTTGGTCTAGTAAAAGAGGGCTCCATAACAGCATAACAAGATATCTGAAAGGCAAGATAATGCTGATTGATCTATTCAATCGCTCACCCAATTCTTCAGCTTTCTTCAGTTTCTCCGTAATCATCTCCTGTGTTCGTGCATCCGGTGGCAAGGTTACCAGTGTAGGTAGAGGGGCAAGAGGAGGTGGATTGGCCAATGGCTGTGGCATCAATGCTCTATCTTTGTTGAAAGCTTCAAGTAATGACATGGCCTGAAACAAAACGTGTTTATACAAAACTGTCTGTCAATGAAAAAATTTACTCTGATAGGCAGCTACGGTTTGGAATCCTTCGAACTCTGAATTTCTGATCACTAAGAGATATAGTTTACGTAACAAAACCCATAGAACTAAATGCTAATGATGAAAACAAATCCGGTACTTCTCAAGTCCCACTTAGTCTGACACTCGCTTTAATTTGCAATGTACTTCAGATAAGAGAAATTGCAGTTCGTTCTGATCACGGACAAATTGAAATGGTTTAAAAACTACAGAAACTCAACCGTTAATCATAAGAAAACCCATCCACATTGTGGTAGGAAAAGACCTGTTTATCTGCACGCTTGGCTTGCAGCTCATGAACAACTTCCATAATACGAATTTTGTCATCACCTCGCCCCTCAAGATCTACACATCAAAAATAGAATTTAGAGATTAATAGGTTAAAAATCCAAAGATCACTTATGCAGAATAATTACTTGGAAAGACTGCACATGAGATCACCGACTTTAACATATGCTATTCAAAGCCTTGCATGTTAGAAACTGAGTTTACCCAAATACTCTGCTGCCTTCAGCTTCTCTTTGATTTGCTTGGTATACTCCAAAGCTTCTGGTGACTGCGCATACAATATAGTGCATAATTAGCACACCGCAAAACAAAGTGCCAAGATCATGCCAAGAGCAACAAGATAATAGGCTTCTCAACCCTTACATGCACCGCCAAAGGGTAGGCTTGTACCCAACACCTTTTCTAATATTCCATTCGACGACTCCGGCTCAACTCTTCGTCACATGTAAAATATTAGTAACAGAAATGAAGGACAAACCTTGGTCACTTCCGACACAGCAATTGCAGTGGCCGCACCTGCGTCATCATCTTCTAGACGTTTCAAAGCGCGTTGAATCTTGCGGTCACACTCTACTATGTGCTTCTCCAAACAATCTTCCAGATCTCTGTCATAATTGTCTTTCCCATTTGCCTTCGCCTCTTCATACCTACTCATGGTCAAGGCTTTGCAGGCACGACTTGATCAAAGCATGATAGCACGAAATATTATATTGAAAAACCTTACTTCCGCACACAGAAAAAATAAACACATGAAAGGATACTCCTTTCGCAGCTGTAAAGAGTGCACCTTGGAGCAGGGACCCAGGTCCATTTTCTGCGAACATGCAACCGAAGATTTAAATAATCTTTTCATGTTCAATCCATGAAATCATTCGGCCATCCTGGCTCACCGTATCAATTCACGAATTCAGGAATGCCTTTAAACGAATTTCAGTTTTAAAGCTTCAACATCGTCCACGTTTTAAATGATGAGCCACTAGAAATTCGACACCTCGGACAGGAAGACCACAGTCATTATGAAGAAATGCATAATCAGATAATAATATAAATGTAACGCTCTGTATGTGAGAACATTCCGAGAAATTAAGTTACTCAATTAAGTAGCTCAAACCTACGTCTAACCAAGGCGAACCTGTTACTAATGATGATATTAGAAATAACCAGCCATTTCTAAACCTCCAATGCAGAAATTAAGCGACAATGATAACAATGTTTGTCTGTTTCTTCAATCATTTATTCATTTATTTATTTTACTGCTAGGGTGTGGATGCTACTGCCAGAGAAGAGAATCCAAAAAGTTGTAGCCCCCAACAGACGGGAAGCTTCAACTAGAACTAAAAATCTACAGACAATGGCTGTCGCATACAAACTCATGGCATTTATGCCGATTCTATTCTAGAAAAACAGTGTCGGTCCCTTTCAACACCAAACCTCGACAAACACACGTGAGTAAATCTTATACAGTCAATAGGTTTTTCTTGATGCATTCTCAAAGAATTTCAACAACTACACAAAAAAATTAAAATTAAAAGCTACACAAAAAAAAAGGAGGGGAAAGGGGGTTATGACTTTCAACCCTACCGTGAGTTGGAAGAGGTCATGAGGACAAAGCCCAGTAAGATAAAGCCGACACACATCACGGTCCCAGTAGTTCCGCTTCACCTCTAACACGTCTCCATTGCGGTTCGCACCCATCAAGGCATCCAACTGCTTCCGAAAGGCATCCATGATGCCCAACTCAAGAACACCGTAACCCCCAAAATATATATATATCCAAAAACCCTCTCCCAAACAAATACACCCAGGAACTTCTTCTTCTCCAACTCCACAAATTCACACTAACCTCCTCTCCAAACACCACACATCTCGCTCAGCCTCACCTCCACACCCCAAACTCTCCACTCTCCGCGAAACCCTAACTTATCTCCCTTCCTTCCTTCCGCAACGGAGCGTCGTCTACTGCCCTTTATAAGTCACAACATGAACAAGCAAACGACGAGTAGAGTTGGAAAGTGAATTCACGATCAACAACACCAGAGATGCCGGGACTGGCTGGCTAAGTAAGTGAGTGAGTCTAGATGGCGCATTCCCATGAATCCATCATCCCCTCGCTCGCGTTTCCAACGAGAAAACCCCACTTTCTTCTACTTCTTCCCTCGTTCCTTTCTCTCTCTCCCTCTCTGCTCTCCTTCATACTCGCGGTTGCGAGGCCATGGGTCCCCGCCCCGACCCTGTCTCCGCGTGCCTTATTACCGTGGTACCGTCGATTGGACCGACCGACCGTGGTGTGTGAGGGTGGGACCTAAGACCGATGGAACATCGCGGTCTTGGGCTCTGGACTGGGGCTTCCGTGTAGTAAGTGGTAGTTCTCTCTGCTGTGGGTGACACTATTTCCTGGGATTGCAGGTCCATGTTTAACTATTTCTTCGTTTTACGACGTTTCTGGTTGTTATTTGGAATAGTTTCTTCACTTTTGAATATTATTTCAAGGGTGATTCGCAGACATGTAATTTCACGCCATTATTAATTTCCCCATTTTGTGCTTTTTTTTTTTTTGTTTTATGTGAGCAAATCATTTAAGAAACAAACAAACAAACAAATAAACAAACAAACAAACAAACAAACAATATTATTATTATTATTATTATTATTAATGTTACGGTATATCTTATAATAATCCTCATTCATTCCTCAAAGCATGAGATTGGAATCTTTTTGGAATTTTATTTTTAAAAACTATGATGTTCTGAGTATTATCTTTTGAATGTAATTTTTTGGGTGCCATTTTCTAAAAGCTATAAATGAATTTTTAAAATTTTAAAATTTATCTATTATATTTAATTATTATTAGAAAACAAAGGATTTCTTTGTAGAATTTTAATGAAAGAAATATTTTAATATAATTAATATCTAAAAGAATTTATTAATTTATATTTATATTTATATTTTAAAAATCTCTTTACAAAATTTGAATCATAAATAATATACATAAAAATTCCAAATTACAATTTTTTTTTGTGTGATTCTGTTGAATTTATGTAAAAAAACAGGTTTTAGTGCGTGTGTGTGTGTATATATATATATATATATATATATATTTATACACACACACACACGCACATACACACATAATAAGAATAGTAACATCTTTAACTAATTTAAAATATATTATTTGGTTAAAGAACAAAACCAGTGATAAATTCAACTAAAAACATTTACTGTGAACCCAATTCATAACTACGAATGATCAATTGAGCATAAGAAACCAATAATTACTGCATCAGAAATATTGAAAAATCAAATGTAAGAATTTATGTATATTTAATATTTCGGCAATATTTCAGCTTTGTTAACTTTTAGGTTTTTAGCATTTTGAAACCACTATGTCACATTATTTGATCTCTTTGCGATTTTTGTATAATATTGAGTAACTATCAGAATGCAGCGGAGCACAAGGGCTATTCAATAATTTATACACTACTCAATATTTTACATAATCAGATTTTTTTAATAATATGTAATAGTAAACATGGCATTTGATGATATTGGCTAAAATTTGCATTTATATATATACACATAATTATGAATTAAAATTTGTCATTAAATAAAAATTTAATTGAAGCTCGAGAAGTTACCTTGTTCTGTAACAGTTTATTTTAGATTACAAATTTTATCATCCAACAGAATTTTACCAAATTACAACAGTACATTTTTTTTTGTCAAGTTAAAGATGTTTTTAACTTGCTGCAGTTTTTATACTCAAGAGAATATCTTTCTAATATTTACAATATTCAAAATATATGTATGTATATCTTAGTTAGTAGTACTCAAAATATTCACAACAATTCAGTAACCAGCTTCCAAACTTAATCAAAATTTTGACAAACTCAAAATTTACTCGGGAATGAAAATGTAAATATTTTAAAAAGATCATACAATTATTGAAAGAGGTTTGGTTGTTTTATGGAAACCAATAGGTATGGATAGAGAAGTAGGCAAATGTAAGAGATCTTTTCCATAGTCACAAATGACTTTGTGTCTCTTGAGCCATCTTTTACTCACCGTGACATTACATATCTGATTTGGAAAAACATTAAATTCTTCACATGTTTCAAAGTCTCCAATTTTTAGGGTTACCAAACAATTCTTTTCTGGGTATCTTTCAATGCAATTGTTTGCTAATGTGACTACAAGTGTGTTCCCAGTCAACCAGGTTTGAAGCCTCAATTTTTTAGCAAAAGACTCCGCAATAGTAGCAATAGAACAGCCTGTATCTATTAACACATAAGTTTTAACTCCATTTACAATGCCTAGCACAAGTGTCATTGGGATTTCATCCAAATGAATTGGATATAGAGAAAGAGATGAAAGTGCTTTTGCTTCCATGTGTGCACCTTGTTGAGGGCTAGTTTTTGAAACCATAATATTCACTACTTTATTCTTGAGCAACATAATTTTACTTTGGCAACATTTGTTGAACCTCATAAAACGTGGACTTGGTTGAGACTCCATTGATCTTGTACAATTTTTATTGTTAGATCCCATTCTCATCATCATCAATGTCATCATCAACTTTGCATCTTTGGTCTCATTTTCCTTATTAAAAACTTTGGAATGCTTTTTAGGATCATGTGGAATAAGAGGCAATGGAGTTGGATGATGCAACATATCACATTGTTTATTTGAGTAATTTTCATCATGTGCCAAAAGTTGTGAAGAAGGTTGCTCTTTTGGAAGATTAATTTTTTTTTTCAAGCTATTCTTATTAAATGGTGATGCATCAGGTTGTTTTGTGGATATTGAAGAGTTTTTAGGGCTATAATTTTGATTTATGCCTACATTTGGTTTGATAAGATGACACAAGAAAAATGTGTTTACTTCTCTAGACCATTGTTTGAAATCAATGAAAGATTTGTGGCTTCCACTATCATCTTTTTTCTTCTTGAAGTATTTTAGTTTGAGGTCTCTGCGATGAGGGTTACATTGCTCAAAAGTGTGACCAGGGTTACCACAATGAAGGCAATAACTCAAAGTAGGAAAAGTATCATAACATGGTGTTAATGATTTATCAACTCTCTTGTTGAGAATGAGTTTTTTTAAACCTGTTGTGGAGGCTTTTTTAAATTCATACAATTTCTCAAGCCTAATTGCAGGTGCGGATTTATGTGTACCCCAATTTAAAGATTTTTTCTTTGATTCCTTTCTCTTTTTCAATCTTTTCTCAAAAGTCACAGATTTTTGTGTTGATGTTTGTTCATTGTTTACTGCAGTTTTTTGTAAATTCTCACATGGTGCATTTACATTATTATTTTCAATTTTTGTTGAGGTCATATTGAAATTCTGAAAACGAATTTCAGTAAGACTATTAAATATTCAATAGAATTCATCGAAACTATAAATTAATCAGACTCTACTGTAGTAGACGAAGTGCAAAGAATTAATGTGTATCTGTTTATTTTATTTTATATTTTGAAACAATAATTCAAATTTGAACTCATTAGCCTAATGAATATAATTTTGAAGCATCCAATGTAAGTGACCATTCAATTTGAGTCAATGTCATTTCAAAAATGGGTTATTTCATGAGAATTATTTTCAAAACTACACAAACACATATACAATTTTTTATATCTATATATTTTTTAGAAAATTCTATTCAAATTTCATACAACAAAAGTGAACTAGCAATAAGGAATCCGATAATTTTGGTGGTTTTGATTTACTAATGTATTTGTAGAGTTTTCTTTGAATTGAAATTGAATTCACTTTGGAAAAGGCTTATGATAACGTGTCATAAATCAGACTACATAGTTTTTTGCATTCTGAGGTCAAAAATAAAAAATCGTTTACATTAATTTATTTTTTTCTCATATTTTGTAAAAAATCACACAATATATATATATAAATTGAATTTTATGCTTTTCAATGAGTCTCAACTTTCGAATTTTCTTCATTCAAAACATGATGATAGTTGGTATTTTCAAAAAAGGATTGTTTGTGAAAAATCTAATGTAAATTGAAATATACAAAGAAATTAGTATAATCCATAGTAGTAAATTGCATATATGTGAACAAAAAATATTTCATGGTAAACTGAATGTACATTTAATTATGTAACTTCATGCTAATTTAGCATAAAATATAGCAACTAAGAATAGTATATAAACAAAACCCATCATCATTTACGTTGGAAGTGACACTCATTTACTTATTCATCATGATAACAACAACAATATTAAAAAGCACAATAAATTGTAGAACTCTACAGACTTAGTGGTAAGGAACCAAACAGAGTTACTGTTAAAACAGAATCTTGTCTGTCCCACTATTGTCAAATGTTACATTGGATAGTAAACTCCACCAGTAAACAGTAAACAAGGACCTATTGCTCTGCAATCGTCAGGCCATGGAGGGTCCTGTCTAAGATGGTTTAGACAGCAAAATGGAAGAATTACTAACTTTGCAGGTTGAATGTGCTTCTCTTCCTAATTTTGAATGCTTCTCTAGCCACCACCCTATGACCACCCTAAGCTTCTCAGACCATGTTGTACCGAATTGCTGAAGCCATGCTGATCATGCCTGCACATGTAAACTCTGTTTTCTGGATAGTTCAAAACAAGGAGACTATGTTTGGGACCCCTACTTCCTGACCACCTGGAGGACAAACAATAAAGTTTCTTACAACTGAGATGGGTACAGCAGCTTTCTATCATCTTAGGGATGTACTACACAAGGGTTCCTGAGGGAGTAGACCAACAACAAACTAAGCAAAACAGTGTAAAATTCCCATCTTTGTTACAGTCACAACCTAAAAAACAATGATAAAAAGACCAGGTCCATAAGTCAACATGAATGGCATAGCATAGCTTAGCCGGTGGCATATTCATGAACAGGTATAGATGTGTGTTCTAATCCCATCCAACCTCTTGGCCACTAGCCCAAAACTTTCCGGAGGGGCCGCCAGGAGAGTGCAGGGCCAGCAAGAGTCCAGTCTGTACAGCTCCTTCGATGTCTTCACTGCCTTTGCCCTCCGTCATGTCTGTCTTCGTGAACCCCGGGCAGAAGCTGTTGACATATATCTTCGCCCCTTCCGGTCGTTCTCGCAAGGCACGATCCAGTACCGTCACATACCCATTCACCGCCACTTTGGTCACGTTATACGTTGTGTTTCTCTCCGCCCATCCCCCCTTCTCCCATGTCCCATTCACAACATCGTCCCTGTACGCCTTCACGAAGTCGTCCAGCTTTTCTTCAGTCAGGTGCTCCCGGTCGGCTAGTTCTTGACGATATTTGTTGTTCAAGAGCTGGTTACAAATGCACAACAGTCCATATCAGCCAGAGGCAAATAGAAACTGTACAGAAGTGACTTCAATGAGCCCAAGCAGGAACAACTGTACTGTATTGTGTGAGAAGAATAAGTACCCTAAGCAAGCCCAATCGAGATGCGACTATAACAACACGGCTCCCAGCAGAGCTAGGCCGAAACAGAGGCAACAAAGCTTGCGTCACGTTCTTGACACCGAAGTAGTTCGTTTGCATCACCAGGTCCACATTCTCAACGTTCACGGCTCTTTTAGCTACTCCAGCGTTGTTGACCTGTGCAAAGGAATGAGGACTTCCATTTGTTTGACAACCCTCAGAAGAACGACAGCAGTGAACACAGCTGCAACCCACATACGGTTGTGTAATCTCTCTAGAACTTAACTTCAGTTATCGTCAAATTGATGTATACGCAAAACATCTCATCAACTGCACGTTAGCAACTTTGCCTCGGCCAGAACCAGTTGGATTTCACAAAAAACACTCTTTGTCACGACTTTTGGAGGGCTCGGAAAGGACACCCACCAGAATGTCAAGGCCTCCGTAAGTATATTTTATCCAGTCCGCAAATTTGCGAGCAGAATCTTCGCTCTGAACATCGAGAGGGTGATGAGCAACATCCAGGCCTTCCCGTTTCAGGACCTCCACAGCCTCCTTCCCTCGCTCTTCATCTCTCGACGTCAACACAGTGGTAAGACCTTTTTTCGCAAGCTGGCGCGTTAGTTCGAAACCAATCCCTTTGTTGGCGCCAGTGACTACTACCACCATATCCTTCGTCCACCACCTTCATAAACACACCCAGACCACCACATTAAATCACTTCCGCAAGTTTGAAAAGCTTCAAATTAGGAGCAACTGCAGTCCTACATAACCATGCTGTGCTCAGAAAGCAATTTCAACGTGTTCGCAATCACCTTAAATCAAGGAGTGCAGAATCAATTCGACGTTCGTAAGTTCTGACGACACAACTTAGACTTAATGTCTGTCGCGAATCCGCATCATACGCTTGATGTCATTGGTAAAGCAGTGGAATGCTAGAGAACAGCAACTTCAGGCACTCAGGATTCTTAGAGTGAACGCGCCACTCTAAGAACTTGCTGACACTCCTGTTACGCCATATTCTCGTGGCGAGACAAGGTTGTACAGATAATTTATAAAAATCGACGTACCTTGCGGTGGCTCCCGCCAAACTTTGCATCTAAGATCCTCTGAACACAAGTTTGGGTATACGCAGGGATAAAGAATTGAATACTTGGTCTGAGTCTACGCCGAGAATGTTCCGAAACGAACTGCAATAAAGGAACCCGCAGGCGAAACGGTTAACGATCTTCAAGGTAAGGCATGGAGTTGCTACACAAGTTACAGCCCACTGACACCATCTATAAGTACACAGGCCAGAACCTCGAAGCTGGTGAACAGAAGATGCTATACAGGGCCCACAACCTACCACACGGACACTACGCAAAGCAGCAACGTGTACATCAATACTTGACCCAACAAGCCATACATGATGAAAGTCGTGAAAGCACCGTGACGGCAGCGTCAACTATTCTGTCACAGTGGAAAGGGTAAAATCGCATAATCCACAGTGGCAGAAATAACCAATTACAACTCCGCCGCAAGTGAGTATTCCCAGTACCATATCTACTCAATCAGATTTCTTCGTGCCACAGACTGAACTGTTCACCACACAGCTATGCCCGCAGACTGATTCTGGCAACAAATGGTAACGCTATTAAATCAGTTCGAACTTAAAAACAATGCTTTTTCGTGATATTTGATTCTCAATCGGCATTATGGGAAAGAATATATCTCATCAGCTCCTAAACCGAAGACCAAAATTTCCACTCCACGCTAGTTTTCCATTCTGGAGGAGAGTGCCTCTAAACGTGTGCCAACCAACGTTCAAACCCCGTTCTCTATCTATTTCTTCTCCTATAAACCATCATACTCTAATACACGCCTACAAACTTCTTGGCATCTTTCTCTTCTAAATTCTCCAACTCACTTTGCCCGGCCCCTTGTAAACATGAACAGTTGTCACTGAATCCTGATTCTGTGACAGGAAAAAGGCCACCCAACGATGAAAGCTGTGCAAGGTGACGGAGGGCCCATCCCTGTCTTACCAGATAAAACCTACATATTTGAGTTCCAGCCAGCAGATTGTGGGTCATGGTTGTATTGGTGGTAACTTCCGCACTCGACATCTAATATTTGGATACAGTTGGCACATGTTCCAAAAGACATCTTTTCATTGACACAAATCAAAAACAAAAAAAAAATACGACCTGCCCCAGTGCAGGTGCATAGTTCAGTGCATGTGTTGCCAAAATTGGGCAATACCATGGAATTCAGTAAAACCCATGTTGGCCCGACTCTACTTTGAATGGTGCTGGTTAACGTCAACGGGAAAGACCTATGCTTTCTGATTACAATTAACATGACATAATGACAATCCTGAATGCATTATGTGCACCAGGTCCAAGATTCATGCCCAGAAAACATGCGACACACAGGAGTACTTCGTAGACGACGGAAAAAACGAAACAGATAAGAACAAAACTCCCACCAGTTTCCAAATTTCCAACAAGGATGCTGCACTTCAACACAGTTGTCGTCACTCAAAACAATCTCAGTGGCGCACAACAGTGTTGCTACAGATAGTCACACTTGACTCGATTGAAAAACGAGACATTGACTGAGACAACGACAATTCCTCATCACCAAAACTGCAAACACAGAACACCAAAAGGAACTTCAGGACGACATTCATCAAAATGCACAATATTAAAGAGCCAATGTGATCATGCATAAAAACATAAACACACCAAAAGTCCGGTGCTGCTTCTCCCCTTTCGCCTTCATCCAATGAGAGAGGTGCCAGTTCTAACTCCTCAAGCACCCTCCACCAAACCTCACACCCTTCCTCCAAACTCCCCCGAATCCCACATCTCGCCAATACGAACATGACAGTTACCCTCCTCCCAATAGTCCACCTAACATCTCACCACCCCAGCTAACGACTAGCATGCACCACCTCCACAAATGCTAGTACAGTCCACAAAACCTACCCAAAACATGGCATGACCAATATCCTCCCACAACAAGCACACACACCGTTCCGCCTAACATCCATGCCAACCGAGCACCAGCCCACCTCCTCTCACTTCCCAACACTCACTCCGACGCTCCACTTTCGCATTCCAAACCAGACACCACACGAAACACCAGCTTCGTCCACCCTATTGCTCCCCAAAACTAGCAAACTCCAAACCTCGCAACTTTCCCTTCTACTATCCAACATACCCCACACGCTGCGGCAGGTAAAGCACACAGCTGCAATCCAAATTCCACGCATCCGCAAACCAGCTTCCGACACCATGACCAAGCACACAATCGGAGCTTGAAGTCAACAACTCGTCTTGTTTACCCTCCTACTCGACGCATCGCAACATCATATCCCAAAAGAACACACCAGAGCGTCTCAATTCCGAACACCCACCCATCACTCCTCCTGCCAGGAACCAAGTTACAAGTTATCCAAACCGACACAATCACGCTACCCCATTCCCCCTCTCACAGAATCGTTCACAACACGTCAAGCCGTCCGTCTCCGGCTTCACAAACATTGCACTTGGTCTGCATGCAATGGCTCTCCGTCCTCCATTACCACCTTCCAATTTATTCCATCAACCGTTGCGGTGACCGCACTCTGCAGTCATCCAGCGATCCATTTATTCCGCTCATCAATGGCACAACATACTCCGCACACATGAACGTGAGCCTATTCCCTACACTGCACGATCACGCAGCGAACTCCTTTGCAACTACCGCCGTCTTTCACAACAAAGGCGACGCCACTTCATGTGGTCCGCGCTTTGCTGTCATCGTTCCCAATACGCTCGGCACAGCAATGCCATCTAACTACCACAAACACAACTACTCCGCCATCCGCCTAATGGTGATCCTTGCCATGCTTCGCCGCTTCCTCAGCGTGACGCAGGTGCCGGATCTCCGTCGGCCAAGCGATGGCGTACGACAGAAACCCAACGCTCAGCATCACGTCCATCAGAGGCCTGATGCTGCCAGTCTGAATGTACTTCTCGTTGTACTTGTACAACCACGACCACGTGGAACTCATCACCTTCTCCCGACTCAGGTTCGACTTCAGATGGTTCGGGACATCCTTCACCTTCATGCTCGCCAGGTTCCTCAATGGTGCCGCCATGTTGCCTGCCACGCCACATTTCACATTTCACATTTCAAGGGCCATCAGTACACCCGTCTCCACCAGTCCTGCCTCACCGTCGCCTCAACGGCAGGGAGACCGCACTACATGTGATCCAAACTGCCCACAACCCGACGCAGCTGCCAACAAACTCACTCAATCCTGCACTGCACTGTGCTACATCACCACTTCAACAGGACCGGGCCAACACTTGCTCACAACAAATTCCGCAACCAAGTCCGACGTGCCACCACACCCAACTTCCTCACAACAATTTGCTTCTGCCAACTTCATCGCACTGCCACGACTACTCAAATTCCCCTAGCCATCGGTGCACAACATTGGGAGCTCCCAGGACATGCATCCGACGCCCACTCACGCCGCGAGAAATCGTGTCCAACCAGCGCCCCGCAATCGCCACTTTCTTTATCCGCCACGATATCGACCAAACGCAGCTCGTCGACGACATCGCGTCCATCGACTGTGAAACGACACAACAGCATGGGACTGGCAGCCAATCCAGTCAACACAACAGTCCCTTACCGGAATGGATGCCACAAACGCCGAGACAACGAAGGAACAAAGATGACCGGGACAATGAGAACGCCGCGATCACCAGGCAGCCGCACGCGTGGGAACAAGCTGAGAAGACGCGCAAAAGAAGCAGATGGGACCTCATTCACCCAAATTCCATGCTCACAAACCTAAGCAGAGCACAGTCGAGAACGCCAAGGGCGTCTCCTGCATCAACGGAGAGAAGAGCAGCTGCCCAGCACACAAACCGCGCCCTGGACCAGGACATCAGGCAATCCACAAAACGAAACCCTAGAATAGGCAGGAGTGGGGATCCCGGCATCCAGCGACGAGGGGGAGCGAAAAGCGCGAGCCCCAGAGGCAGAATGGGGAAGGAGAAGGGAGGAGCGGAGAGAGGAAGGGGACAATTGAATGGTACCAGCGATGGAGGCAGGAGCGATGCGCAGAGCTGCGAGGGCGGAGGGCGAAGGGTGGAGTTGCGAGGGGCCTGGGTGCGGAGTCGAATCCAATCGAAGCGGAAGGAGGGACGGTAGTAAGGAAAGAATGAGGGAATGGTGTACAGAAGGCTTGCGAGACACACACACACACAGTCTTTCTCTCTCTCTCTCTCTCTCTCACGCACCCGCTCACACCCAGAGAGCGTGTCCTCGGATTCACCCCCCTATCCCCCCCCTCGCCCCCCTTGGGTCATCACTGTAGTTATGTTCCATTAGGATCTTCTCAACAATGCTTCTTACACCCCTACCCACCAAATTCCTACAAACTTGGTTTACTTTGGTGCAATGGTGTGAGATTTGAACTGTACCCACTTAGTTTTTTTAGTTTTAGAGGCTATTGATAATTGTGTACTTATCATCCGCTAGTGAAGACACCACATGTATCACCTTGGTTAATCTATTTTTATATTTGATGGGTTTGTTTAGGAACTTGATCTAAAATAATGTGGCAATTCTTAAAGATTTTATGTAGCATCCAGGGCAGAGTGAGAGTTATATACAATTAAAGAAGATGGATTTAAAATTAAAAACATAAAGTACATGTTTAACACAAATCTTTTCAATAACCTACAAAGTTTTACTTATAGATCTAAAATAGAACTTACAAAATCTTCTAAAATATAAATCCTTTATTATTTTATAAAATCTAGAGTAACCTAAAGCAATCTTAACTTTGCTAAGCTATCATGAAATTAATATTTACTAAAATTCTTCAAAACCAATATTCAAACAAATCTTACCTAGTCTTTTTTCGAATTTTAAGTATCCAATGTTTAAAAGGATCAAATTAATAAAAAAATCCGGATTTTCCATATGTGCACAATTTTGGATGTAATGGTCTTATTTCAAGCTTTGTCCACAAAAAATTCTTTTTGGAAATTAATATAAGGATTTTTTAAATAAATTTAAGTGGAACACAATTCTTTATTTGTACTTAAAGATGCTTATAACATTTTTTTTGTTAATTAACCTTATTAGGTCTTATTTATGGTCCAAAAAGTAAGTAAAAAATTATAAAATCTTTACCTTGTTAAATTTAAGAGCCTTAATTTATTTTTATAAATAAATATTTTGTTTAAAAAATAAGAATTATTCTTAATTACAAAACATAAGCTTGTGCACATAATAGTCAAAGATGGATGTTTATTATCTTTTAAAGATATTATTTATAAAATTATCTCTTTAGATGTAG